CGAAATCACTACAGAGATCTTGCACAGGATACAACAATTTTGTACAACAGGTTAAGGAAATCTCCTTCCCCATGGACTTTGGAACACACCAAGGCCGTCCAGAAGATTAAACTCAGAGCCAAACAAATTCCTTGCTTAGCTCTAGCCAATTCTTCATGGTTCAAAATTGTGGAAACAGATGCATCCAATATTGGATATGGTGGTATTCTTAAACAGAAGAATCCAAATACAGGAACAGAAGAGCTTGTTCGCTTCACTTCAGGAACTTGGAAAAATGCACAATTAAATTATTCAACCATCAAAAAGGAAATTCTTTCTTTGGTTAAATGCATTTATAAATTCCAAGATGATTTAATCAATCAGAAATTCTTGTTACGCATTGATTGTAGTGCTGCTAAACAAGTACTGGAAAAAGATGTAAAGAATTTGGTTTCCAAACAGGTATTTGCTGGTTGGCAAGCTGATTTATCTGCTTTTGATTTTTCTATTGAATATATTAAAGGCAGTTCTAATTCTTTACCTGATTTTCTAACTTGTGAATTTTTGCAGGGTTCATGAATCAGCCCCCCCCATGGGCAGGGCCGGGGTAATACTCCAAAGGCTCGTGGTAAAAACAAAGCTAAGGCCAAAGTGGTTATACCACTAAATGATGATCAATTTCCATATTTGGATCATGTTGCTGATCTGCTCAACACACCTTCTAAAGGAAGCAGCACTACACAACAGAAACAACAGAAACCAACCATGAAAGAGGTTCTTGAACAAGAGACTCCATGGATACCTAATCAAAGGTATGTTCAGACAGTATTGGTACTAGATTCTCAGGATGAGCAATGGATGCCAGATCCTTGGGAAGTGAAATCCAGATATTTCCAAACTCAACAATATGCTGCACCGGATGGTCGCCATAGATATATCTATGAAGCCATTCTTACTGAAACTTCCTCTGTGGAGATCAACCACACGAAGCAATTTCCGAATTCCAAAGATAGTCCTCTTACTTATAGTAAAGCTATCTTTAAGAGGCTTATACGGCCTAGTGACTGGGGATTAAATCCTAATTTGCCAAGGAAAATATCCTATGGTCACAGTTACAATTATTGGGATTATATCTCAGTTTGGACATATTCGTTCTTTTATCAAAATCCGAAGCATAAGCATTCTTGGTTCTTCAAGATATGCCCTCAATCAGTTAAGGCTGATTTCCCAAACTGGGTTATACCCTGGTGGGCTATATTTGGCCCTGATCTGGATATTTTGCCAGAGTCAATTCGGTAGTTATACTTGCCATGGCAACAATTTCATCCTCAATTACGGGGACAGGATAATATTCCTGTAGGGAAATCCACCCTCTTATTCTTTACTGAATTTGGAATCCCTTGGATTTGGAAATGGGATTTCCAATGTGGTTATACCACTGACAAGTTACCAGTCCTTCAGAGGATCTTTTATTACCGATGGTGGTCCGGCATGACTCAAGACCCTATCCAAGCCCTCCTCCATCATATCAGAAAGAAAACACTGGAATACATGGATAAGGTTCCAAAGTTAACTATTCCAGAACCCGAAATCTTTAACCCATTTGAACTTGTTAAAGATATGATCAGAAAACAACAACCATTAATTACCGAAGCCGATTTAATGGTTAAATGCATGGATTTTATGAGGACCAAATTTGTTAAATCTTTTGATTCCTCCACACCTACAGTACGAGATGATGCATCCATGGTGTCAGTCTCTAGCCAAACCAGTCAAGAAGGTAATCAGTTTTCCTGTCTCGCTGGGTATGCACAAGATCCCAATGAAGATCTTATTTCTGAAGATGAGCCTACAGTAGCCGACTATTGGGACTTTCTCACCAGTCACTTGATGGACAAGATGAATCCACCCAAAAAGTAAAGATTCCTCTTATCCTGCCGACAGAAGAAGACAAAAAACTTTTCCCCAAAGTCTTTGGTTCTACAGTATTTCCTTCATCAGATGTCTACTTTCCATCAGATAAGGAGACAGAACTTAGTGGTGGGCCGACCGACTGCATTATTCCAGCACACGATCCCCAAAATTTTAATTCAAAAGATTTTTAATTAAAAATAAAAAATTTTATTTAAAATCTTTTTTTTTTTTTTTTTTTTGAAAAGATTCCCCTCTCATTCACTCACTCAAACTAAAAAAGAGAATACCTTCCGAAAAAAAAAAAAATAAATAAATAAGAGAAAGTCAAGGGGAAGGGGGAAGGGGGAAGGGGGAAGGGGGAAGGGGAGGGGTAGATAGAATTATTTAGGGCACAATTGGCTGATACAATTTCTCAACGATAATAAAGTTGGCAGCGTCGTCTCTAATTTTGGGCGTCTTTGTTGTCCCAGTTTTGGGCTAAATGACCCACATTGTAATTATGCTTTATCCATTTATTACCATTGCTTAAAATTCCTAAAAAAAAAAATCAAACTCGAGAAGATTTCATTGCTTCATAATAGACGCACACCACAAAAACGTTAATTAATTGATTGTTGATCAGCTGTGGAGATTAGTGGACAAGGAGTTAAAAAAAAAAAAAAATTCAATGATATTGTTGATCATCATCACTACAACCGACAGGACCGAGAGAATAGAACGACGTGGCACGCATACAGAAATTTTGTGATGGTTTATGATGAACAAGTGACACGTGCCATTCCATCTGCCTTGTCACCCACCACGCGTCATCCAATCACCAACTCATCACCACTACAACAAAATCTACTATAAATTGTCCTTTCCGTCACCGTAAAAGGTGGAGAGTTATTACAATATTACTTATCTACCAGGTTTAATCGTTCCAGTGAGTCTCCTTTTATTGACAACTTATAAAGCAACGAAAATGGCAACAACAGAACAAAAAAAAGGGAACTCGACGAAAAGGCAAGGCAAGGAGAGACCGTTGTCCCTGGAGGCACTGCGGGCAAAAGCCTTGAAGCTCAATAACGCCTAGCTGAAGGTGCATATACATACATATATATATACACACACACACACACATATATAAATATATATGTATATCTGTAGATATATACATATATAAGTTGCGATATTTGACTTGTCTACACTACATTTATGTGAGAGATGATAGGATTGCATGACTTCATTTTCATTCACATAAAATGGTCATGATTGAGTTATATTATTATTTTTCAATAAATGTGTAATTTGAAAAATAAATAAAATTGAAATATATATATATATATGTATATTTTATAGGGAGGAGCCGAGGAGGGCAGATAAGGAAGGAGCTGCATATAGGACATGAGGGATACAAAGAAATGGGAAAGAAAGGTGGGCAGCACCATGGACAAGTCTGGAGAAGAGCGTGCTAAAGAGGAGGGTATCTCCATTGACGAGTCCAAGTACAGAACCAAGAGTGCCAGTGACTGATCAATCAATATCGACATCACCGTCATCAAGTTTAATATATATATATATATGTATATATATATATATATATATATGGTCATGCTGTAAGTTGTTTAATCTAGCTAGTAGTTCTGTGTTGTGGTACGTGGGACTGTTCAGGGCCCTATATATATATATATATATATATATATATATATATGCTGTTTGTAGTGGATTTGTTTGTGTATAAATTATAATGTATTTATATGTGGTACGTGTTTAAATGTTTAATTATGCATGGTAATGTTTACTTTTAGACTTAATGAAGTAATTAGTTAAGAGTTACATTTAATTCATTAACAGCGATTCCTATTATTTCAATAATTGCTAAACAATCATTCAATTTAGACATTAGTGGTATTCAATTTGCTCAATAAAATATGGAAAATGATATATATCTTGAATGATTTTCAAGAAGTTAAATACTCCATATATCCAGCTCTAAAGAGTGTTCGGTTTTTGTTCATCTATTTAATAGATACAGCTCATTATTCATGGAACTGAAAAAAAAAAAACAAATATTTGAGATTATATTTGGATTCAAATGAGTTACAAATAAAGTAAGGCACGAATGATTGGAATTACACTAAACTAAAGGGCTTGAAAATAAAGTAGGATAAAATATTACTGTAAATGTAAATATATATGTTGCCCCAGAGACCACTTCATTGAGAATGAGTGTTCAATTCATGGTAGAGGGTTGGGAACCAAAACGGGTCTTCCTGGCAAAGGGTTGGGGAACAAAATGGGCCTTCTTTGTAGTTGACACCTCACCATCCTCGAATTTGAAAGAAATTGGTCCAATAAATTATTATATAATTTCGGGATTAATTGATATGTAAATAAAAAATTAAATAATACATAATTAAAATATTAAATAATATATTAATTTTTGTGTGAATGAGGAGTCTCTTTGGAGAAGATATTTGATGCACTTGGCGCACCGTGCATCGGGTTTATCTGTACTCTATGTATACAATACGTGCATATGCATATATAACATTTACGATACACAGGGCGCACCCAATATCTATTTCAGCATATTAAATCAAAGTATACTAAATACCTTATTTTTTTGGGAGAAAGTTGACCCATGGATTAAGGTTCACAAATCAGTTTTTACCCACTCTTGTGGGGGTACCATAATCATACGAAATCATTATACCAATTTTTGGTGCTAACAAACCCCATGTGCTGCAGGTAAAACGAATATTAAGATAAAACTACAAACAATCATAGTTAAGAAAAATACAAGTTGCAATTTAGGTGTTACTTACAATTATGTATTGACTTTTATTTTCTTTCCAACAAATTGATAATACAGTTCAGCCTTGATGTACATGTATTACATTGTCCACATGACTTTGCATGCTTAAACAATTGCTACCTTAATCCAAATGGGCTCAACAATGAACCAGAAATTGACCCGACCCGACCCTAGAAAACAAAGTTTCAAGAATCTACAACATAAAATTGGGGGAAATTATAAGAGCTTACAACAATAAAATAAAAAACTGAGGTGGTATTGGGTACACAAAAGCACAAAAATGAGAACAATTTTGTGGGATGAAAGAAAAAAAGAAAAAAAAAAAAGAAGAAAATGTGGGTTCACTCGTGTCAAGAGCGAGAAATTATACGTGTGTAGAGGAACTCGTTCCACGTGTCCGGCAAGCCGGGGAGGCACCAATGGATGCAATCTGCATAAGTGAGAGGGTCGGCCTGCTGCTCCGGCGTGAGCATCTTGCCTTGTCTGATGGTGTGGACGGAGGTGTGCGCGTCTTTCCGGTACTCAGAGAGGGTGGTTATGTTGAGGAAGTGGACCGGCACCTTCATCGACCGTGTCACATTCGCCGCAGCTACGAAGAGCCGGCGGTCCGTGCCCACATTCAGTGGCATTGATGTGTTCAGAATTGGAATGGTCTCCTTGGCACACTTGATACCATCAGGGTTTTCCCAGTCCAAACTCCTATTCCACATTTCCATGCACAATTTTCATTATATATTCAAATAACATCATACTATATACGTAGTATATATTAATGTGCATTAGTTTTGTCACAAAATAATTTCAATTAATTAATTAATCACAACATGAGGGACTTTTAAGTGTATTACTTGATATGAAGTGGAGACATGCTCATGAAAAAAACTGTGGTATGATTGGGATCAATATTTCTGTCCACCCACTTAGCCCATGTCCTCAAAACTCTCCTATATGCTACTGGCCGTTCGATCTCGTCGTATTCTGTGTCCCCTTCATCGAACGATCCTCGTCTGTTTCGATCACACGTACCCCACAAATGAAAAAAAAAAAAAAAAAAAATCAACCACATGATCTTACTGAAATAGTTGTATTGTAAATAGAGAGACATTTCATATGCTACTTACAGGACTTTCATTGCGGCAGTGTTCATCCACCAAATATATGTGTTGAAGATGAGGTAGTCCACACTCTTCCAGTTCTCGCCATGTTTTTTGATTGAATTGGGCATAATAATACGATTCAATATACTGTGCATGTTTGGATCATCTGAATTTGACTCCACCAGAAATGGGGCCCAATAGAACTCCACTGTAGCATTATAGTCCTGCAAATTAATTCAAATGAAATGAGTGATTAATTTCAAAAGAAGTGTTACTTAGGTTTCTAATCAGTCCTACCAACTATACCACTTTATTTATTTTTCGAATCTCATATTAGGTCTAAATTAATAAAAATAAGCCCAAGTTGAGCTTAATAATAGTAACACGTGAATTGTAGAGTATGTGACTATACTGTTTTCAAAACAAAAAATAAAAAACAAAACAAAAAATTCCACAATAATAAAAGGAAGAATAATTAATGCAAACATGCAATATGTCACTATCGCTCTTTTCCCAATTTCCTAATATAAATTAGATTAATGATTAATTAATATTTGTCCACCAAATTCAACAAATTTGCATTAATCACGCACCATATCTGCTAGATGTGACACAACCCTAAAATGCTCTTCGAATATTGAGACGTCCAATTCAGTTCTTGGAACTAGAATTGCATGTAACCAATGGTGGACTATATGATACCTTAGAAGACACGTGAACAGAAAAAAGGTCCACATTAAGAAAATGATGACCAATGATGAAAACATAAAATATGTCACACCAGCCCTTTTATCAGTTTTCTGATATAAACTAGATTATACTAATTAATCAAGGTTTGTCCACCAAATCCACCAAACTTGCAAATAACAACCACCCTCACCACCAATATTAGGTGAAAATGCTCTCTGGACATTGAGGTGTCCAAGTCAATTTTATTAAAACCTAAGTAACACATTCACATTTCAACACAAAAGCAAGACAATTCAACAACCTCAACTTTACAATAATAAACCAGTGATTGGACGAGATTTAAGCTGTGTGAGCTTGTGTTCAGGACAAGGAAAGTATCAATTGGCCCAAAATAAAAGTCTTGTCTGTCTTCCCTTCATATATGCCAACACATAATAAATTTGGTAAAGTTCACTGTGTTTCTCTAGTCCTTCTGATTATCACCCAAAAGATTAAAAAGAGAAAATTATAGATCTGCATAATGATTATCATCGGGGAATATAGTCCAAATGTCCAATTAATCATCATTACAGACAATTATTGCTGTGTGTGTGTGTGTGTGAGAGAGAGAGAGAGAGAGAGAGAGAGAGAGACCTCAACTCTGAAAACAGAGAGAGAGCCGGTCTTGTTCAAGCTCTTCTTGCCCGGAGGAACTATTGATTGAACGAAACAGATCATGGACTCCCATTGGTTCCGATTCAATGAGTCCCCAACAAACATAAGCCTCTTATTCCTTAGTTTCTCAAGCAACAATTTTGCTTTGAACCTTCAACAAACATGTAGTAATCATTATCACACACAAACACACACAAAATCCCAATTGAAAACAGTAACTGATAAAATAAAAATTGGGAATTCAAGAATCAAAATTCTTACTTGGGCAAAGAACAATCTCTGGGTTGCCACCTCCAATTTTGATACATTGAGTCCTTTCTTCCATTTCTCATGCAAGTCACTTGAGCTGTGAGAAACTCACATTCTTCCTCTTTGTACAGTGGGTAAGTCGTATTATCAAACACCCAATCCCCAGTATAAAGATCACAGCTTTCCGGTGGCAATTCAATCTCTTCGTCGTCGTCATCGTCGACGGCAGGCCATTCGACGTTTTGCTCATCTTCTTTCGATACACTCGATTTCAGAGCCATACTTTCTTGGGTATTCTCGTCTGAATTCCCAACCTCTGTTTCCACTACAGTTCTTGAATTAATCGAAAATTCGCGCTCATCGCCTTTTTTGTCGATTTCTTGAACTGGGTCGTTGTTGGTTTTGGAGGGTTCTTCTTGGATTTCTTGAGCTTTAGGCCTGGACGAAAATGGAAACTCTGCAATGGACTTGACGTCTTCATTGTACATGAAGCATCCGAAGAGGAATATGGAGAAGACGACGACGAATATGGAGAGATTGTTGGATTTGCGACCGGCGTGCTTCATTGTTTCGGAGGGGAAGAGTGGTGTTTTCCGGCGAGGTGGCTGCATCAGAGGGGGAGTGATGAGATGTGTGAGAGAGAGGAGAGAGCAGGAAATATAGAGAAAGAAAAGAACATATCAGAGAGAAAGAGATAGAGAGAGACTAACCTGTTACTGTGTTTGATTTGTTTATTTCGGTTTGGTGAGAAGGGCTGTCTTCAAGAAATAGGTTTGGTCATTGTTGTTGGAGGGAGAGAAGTCTTTCTCAGATTTTCCTTTTGATCCATTTCTAACTACTTCCTTCTCCATAGTTTAGTTCGCAAATCTAGAGAGAGAGAGAGAGAGAGAGAGAGAGATGGAGATGGAGATGGAGATAGAGACAGAGAGGAGTAATTTCAAAGTTTACTGGTTCTTCACCTTCAATCTTTTTCCGTAATGTGAACTATGTGGCCCATGGGCCTAGGCATCAACATGCTTGTAAATTCTCTACATTTTTTTATTTTATTTTATTTTAAGAAAATGATAAGAGTGTCAAGGGTTACTCCGAAAAAATGATCGAATCTAACGTGATTTGGCACCTCTAAAACTTTTTGCACATAAAGAGTAAAAGAACCATTATGTGTTATCTCACCCCTAAAATAAATTTGAAATTTTTTTTTTGTTTGAGAAGGTAATGGAGCGATGAACATTGTGTGAAGATAATTGGAAGAAAGTGGATATATACAAATAGAAATATATATACACACACACAATTACATATATGTTGGTAAGAGATCATAAATATTTAAAGAATTTTTTCTACAAATTTCTCAATAGATTTAGGTATTACTCAATGATGTAATTTTAAAAATTACATGATCATCTTGTATTCAAATCATGTACAAAAATTTGGAAGTATTCATAACATCGCTATTTGATTCATGATTGGCTCTCTCTCTATCTAGGATTTTATATAAGTTTTCTTCTCCAGCAGTAATTCAATATTTTGGAATTTACACTGGTCACTGACTAAATATATCAAATTAAATCATTATGAATTTTTTTTCTAAAAGATACTACATAATAAGATAAAGATAAGTTGATTCCTAAAAAAAATGATAAAATAAGTTTTCTCTAATTTTGGAGACTTCTGAGCTTTCCAGTAATCCTTTTTCACAATCACCTTCTCACCTTTCTTTTTATTTTTTTACCTGCACGTAATGGACTCTTTTGTTTCCTCACACAAAAGGAGTGAGAATCTGACTTGGCCAAAACACGTCAGGTTCAGTGATTAATTCGGGGGATACCGTTCGATTCTCCTATCATTGCTCTTTTATTTTATTTATTTATTGAATAATGACAGTGATTAATTCGGGAGATACCTTTCGATTCTCCTATCACTGCTCTTTTATTTTATTTATTTATTGAATAATGATAGGAAGATCAATGAATTAACTACGAATAAGTATTGAATCTGATGTGTTTTTGTCTACCTCATCTATTTAAACAGTTTTCAAAAAATAATTATTTAATACGTAATAAAAATACTCAACCACGTCAAATTCGATACTAATTCGAAAATTCCTTTTCGATTCCCCTATCACTACTTTTATTTATTTTGTAAAGGATGATAGTGTCAGACTTGTTAGAACATTCCATAATCAATTACGGTTACAAATAGTTCGTTCCCTCTTAAGAATTTTTTTTTAAAGATGATTCTATATAAATTCAAACTCCCCACTTTCAAAATTCTCTTCATTTGATTCTTTTAATATTACTGGTCATTCATCTACGACATGCTAGTAAAACTTTAAAACCCATACCGATACTATTACCGAACATCTTAGAATATTTAATAATTCATCACCAAATATATAGAGTCTCGGTTCTATATGCACTGAAACCTGATAAATTCCCGTGTAGGCTTTAAGAGCATTCTTCTGCGCCCCAAGTTCCCAACATCCAATTTGTAAGGTGAAACTGTTTGCCAAATTACTTTAATGATCAAATAATTACCAATTGCTAGTAAAAACTGTAAAAGCCAAGGAATCCATGAGAGGGGAGTTACGTTTGAGCGCTTCTCCTAGGTGGGTCCATAAAATGGAAGGGCCCGCATTGTAATGTGTGTCTATCACAAGGTAAAATTATAATTTATTGGTAAACACCCTCCTAATGTTGCAAGAAATTCCCCAAACAATCAAAAATTTGCAAATGAATTCTTCACAAAGACCATAGATTAATGAAAGATTTAGGAAATGTAAATATACCCGCTTATATTACCTCTCTTGTTGTCCAAATAGTTGAGTTGTTACAGCGTTTAAAAGTTTCGCATTCGAGTCTTGTATCTTCTTCATTCCCTCTAATCACTAACTCACTAACATTCTTGTCCTCAAGAGAAAAAAAAAAAAAAAAAAAATTCAAGCTAACGCTCATTTGTTTGATAGAACGAAAATTACTAGTTTGTCAACCATCATACCACACACTCGTTATCATTTTCTTGTGGTTGCAAAAATTCTATCTTTCATCTTAAATGTGATGTTTATTATGCAGCTTTTGGGATTCATGTGTGTGATTAAGAGAATAAAAAATGGTAAACTTTTGCCCAATTTGTATTGAAGGATATATATATTTAACTTAATCTTTTAGAATAGATGAGTAGTTAACATGGTATTAATGTCAAATGTCTCAAATTCAAACCTCACCGTCACCCTAATTAAAAAATTAAAAAAATACGTATTGAACCAAAAAAAATACACACGTGAAGAGACGTGTTGAAGAATTTATATATTTAAGTTACACCCTATCTAAGAGTTTAAATATAATAAAAATAACAATAATAATTGGATTCCCTGTCTCTGCAATAGAATTATTATTTTCTTTCTGAGTTGTCATCTGTGACACAAGAGAGAATGAACTGAAAAGCAAGGGGTCCTTTACGAACACTGAAACCACTTCAAACCGACCCTCTTTGTTTCTTCCCTAATCTCACCTAATCCATCATATCATCAAGTACTCTAAATATCAAAGTTCTTTTATATATTTATTTATTTATTTTTGAAAGGTGTCTGAGTATCACAGTTAATTTGCCCAAACCTAAAAATTGAGTTAATCATTAGAAGCAATGTGTGTGCGTGTGTGTGTGTGAGAATATTGTTAATGTTTATAACGTACCCACCAGAGCTGTTTGAAACTTACATAGGGGCGACTGACAAGCCCTAACACTTTTTTTTTTAGTATGAGAGAGAGAGAGAGAGAGAGAGAGAGAGAGAGTGTATATGACTTTTGATGAGAATTATAATTAATATTAGAGGGCCAATGTGTCAAAATGATCGTAAAAATGATAGAAGGGTAAGATAGTCATAAAAAGGAGAAAAATTTAGGTTCCATGCATCATAGGTGACTCAAGTCACATAATTCTTTTAAACGAGTGTTACTCTCGCTCTCGTTCTCGTTCTTGTTATATGTGACTTAAATTTTGTCTTTTTTCTGTCCGCACTTGCAGTGCTTTATGTGACTTAGCAGGTTACTTGATTTTTAATTTAAGTTAATTCAAAGAAATTTTGTTAAATTAATAATAATTTAAAGAGTTTTTTTTTTTTTTTTTTGGCAACAATCTAATTGAGAATTTTTATTTTTTACAATTTACCCATAATTACATATGGGGTACTTTTAATGCATGATAGGATTCTTAGTGATTGAGTCCACTTTTTGCTTGGACGAAAATCAGATAGTTTGATAATTTGTGGTAGAGACATCAATGCAGTTTTTCTTAAAGTGGTGTCACGCCTAGCTTCTCTTCTTTACTTTAGCTATTTTAAAATAGTAATATGGTATATATATATATATATATATATATATATATAATCTAATTTATATATAAGCATGTTTGTTATTTTGTGGGGTTGGTTTTGTCTTGATGAGGTTGCAAAGGGACAGAGGAGACCACCACCACCCCAAGATATAATAATAAAAAATAAGAAACGAAGTAGGATTATTATCAATTAGTGCTTAATCCAAAATTACCATTAAGCCAGCAAAATCAATTTATAACGAAAATTAAGAGCTTTAGTGTGATACCCAAATCAGAAGTTACTCGATCATATCAAATTAAACTTATAGTTGTAATCTTTGTTTGTCTCCTACCTTTCTTGAGGTAATTTTTGAAGAATTAGCATACGAAGTGTTAATTTTAATATATATATATGTGACATTTTACGTTACTTGAAAAGGGGACGTTTCTCCACTTATAAAGAAATGTCCCTCTTTTACATATGGCGACGCGTTTTGAAAATCGTTACATCATGTGAATTAAGTGTTTTTTTTTTTGGTTTTTAATCCAACAAATTTAAAACTAAATTATAAAATTTGTTAATAACAGATTAACACAAATTACAAGGTGATAATTGTATTGCACTCAATATATATATTCTTAAAACTATATTACCACTTGATGAGGACCCTACTATATATATATCTTTCCTTGTCCCCAACAACCCCTCAACTGCAATTGATGCATCATTAAGGCTCTTATTAACCCTAGTTTGTTTTGAAAGCCAATCATATTAAGCCCAAATTATGGGTAGCTTTATGTTTGAGAAAAGTAAAGGCTAAGGAACCCTCATTTTCTTCTTTTTGTGCACCAGCATATATGCCTTGTTTTGTGCACTTTTGTCATTTGACTTCTTTTGGGTGTTGTTTGTTTGATAGGTGACCCATCGCTTTTTTTCCAAGTTAAGACAACTTCAGAAGCTGGTTCTACCTTCACAGCAACAATGAAATGCCAAACACATCTTATCATGTGTTTGCTTGCCACCCAATTCTTCCAACTTATCAAAAGGTGTCCTATTAATACTCATAACCTACAAAATGCAATCTATAAAAGAATTATAAAATATTAACAAATTGGAGAGATCATTTTTTTGATAGGGACTATCTTTTTTTCATTACTTTATACTCTTTGATAGTTAGGGACTGTTTGGATGTCTTTTCAGGAAGATTAAGTTGATAGCTACTTACTGCTTACAGTCACCACTGGATAAGTAGGTTTTTGCCTTGTGTTTATTACGATATCAGCTTTCTTTATTTACATGCCTAGTAGGAAGAGAGATTCGAACCTTAGACATTTCTTTGTCAATGATATTGATAACCAGAGTAAGATACATTCGAAAAAATTTATGAGAGTAAAGAAAATGCAAAGATGACATCATTGTATTTAATGACACAAGATGTCATCTCAACTCATATAAAATATGGAGTAATTAAATACATTCGACTTCTGAACTATTTATCATTATTTTTAATTAGGTGGCCAAACTATCAACTTCTTTGTCATCACTCCGAAAGATTATATTCTCCTTGTTGTAATCCCAATTGAGTGAGTTTTTGTACAAATTTTCTTTTTTAATATTTCTTTTTTCATTACAAACTAATTCACATTTTATTTCTAGTTTCTATAAAGGCATTTCTTATTAATTCGACAATTTTAACTACTATTACTTTTACATTGTGTTTGGAAATACGAAATTGACGTCTTGAAATTCAAAAAAAAATTAATTTAAACAAACACAACTTTATTTATTTGTGCATCTACTTGTAAGTTGTATATGTTGTATACATATGTCTAGCCATGTACTTTTGGCGAACTATATTGCTTTTGATTGCTTCGAAGAATGGTTCACTTAAAATTATGTGAAATTAACTTGGATTGACAAAAATCTTGGAAATGAGTTGAGTCAGAAAGGCAATTCAAAACCAAATTTTGTTTTAATTTCAAATTAAATTAGATAATGTGAGCATGACAAAATATATCTGGCCCAAAGGAAAAGAAAGAAAAAATACTCAAAATAAAATTGATATTCTCATTGCATGGAATTGCTGTCTTGGAATTATAATTAAAAAAAATTAAATTCAAGACATCAATTCTATGTAACCCGTTTAACAGAATGAGATTCCACGTGTATGTGTTTTTGGTTACAACTTTATGAGTTGATTTTGGTTGATTCAATTTTAGGTTTGATAACTGTACATTGAGTAATATACAACCTAAATCTACATTTTCATGCCATCTTAAGGAAAATTAGACAATTCTTGTTTTAAAATTTATGTTGCATTTGGGAATATTGAATCCCGTTGAGATTAAAAGAAATTTAATTTGAAATTCAAATTAAATTATATCCAATTCGAAATTCAAACCATGCATTCATTATTGTCAAACATAACATTCCTTGTGAAATACATATTATACAATATTGCAATCCATTTTATTATAATTGAGTATTTTATAATTCACACAACCAGAAAAACTCAATAAATATAAAATTCAACCATGGACTTGGAAAGTGCTGTCTCTTCCTTCTTTCAAATAGAAGGTTATGATTTTGACTCCTCAAGGAAGAAAAAAAAATTAAAAAAAATTGGGTGCGTGTGACTTAACTATTCAGGAAACAAAAAGATAAAAAGTAAAAGAAGAAGAAGGAAAGAACAGAAAAGTTGAACCAAATGATAAGAAAAGATAATTCAAGGAATCAATTCGATTTTATAGAATTTAAGTGATAAGATTAACTGAAATAAAAATAAATAAATAATTTGGCCATGTCTTTCAGATTCAAAATTATAAGAGAAAACGAGTTAATATTTTTTTTTTTTTCGAAATTTTGTTCACTTTGGCTTTTCTAGACTTAAAAGTGGTAAAATAATTCAGAACCAAATATAATTTATTTCGGTTGTTTAGATTAAAAAAATCGAAATGTTTCTCCTACTTAGATTGACCTCACCGAAAACCCAATGGAAGTGATCTTATAGTTCAACAGAATTTTTTCTCAGTAAGAGTTAAACTGAAAATCATTTGAGTCACCCAAAAAAAAAAAAAAATGCTACACGTCTGTAAAACTTCATAAAATTTCAAGAAAAATTAATTTTAAACCGACAATATGACACTCATTATATATAAACATATATCAATATATGACACACTCATATAGTTAACTTATGACTATATATGTGTAACATTACATAGTCAATAAATTGTAATATTTTTGTCAACTTGTGAATAAAAGCCAAACATTAAATTAAATGATATAGTTCAATAAAGTAACTAACTATTGGACAACGGTGAATGCCAAACATTGTATGGTTTTGATTGAAATAAATTTTTAAAAAAAACTATATATAACATATCTTTCATGTGAATTTTGCTAAATTTAATGTATATAACATATCTTTCATATAAAATAAAAATCATGGCTTTTCCTTACAAAGAAGACAGAGAATTCTAAGAACAAAGATTAAAGAGATATACTTGTGTATTTGTGTATACCACTAAATAATTAATATCATTCAAACTCTTACTTTTAATTTGTTGTTAATATCATTCAAATCTTATCTATGACAGCATCACCATTTCATACTCACTCATATTTGATCAATGTTATATGGCAATAAGAAACAATCAATTTATATAAAAAAAATGCAACAAAAGCATCGAAACAGTTCGAAACCTGAAATTTTTGAGTTGATTCATGCAATAACAGAAAGAATCGGCACTGCAAAAAAAGAAAAAAAAAATTACACAAAAAATTAAAAGAATTAAGAAAAAACTGTATTTTTTTACCTGATGATTGAAGAATGGCATACAGAAATCTCAGCCTCATTTTGAACTATTTGAGAACAAAGGAAATAAAAGATTGGAAATGTTTAACAAAGAAAAAAAATTTGTTTTTTTTTTTTTTCCTTTCTTCAATGGCAAGAAAATATATTATCAATGAATTTACTCCATGAATAAAGAAAGAATTTGAATCTGCCTATATATATGAATCTGAAGGTAAGAAAATGTATCCGAAGAGAAATAAAACTTTATTCAAAAGCCACATGGTTACCTATGAATTGGAGCATATATATATATATATATAATATATATACACACCACCCCCTTATATCTTCCACCACAGTAGAGAACAAGAAAGGAGTGTTGAGACCACCTGATTAATTAACTCCTCCACCACCCCCTTTGCATCACTTTGAAGCTTTCCACAAGAGGAGGACCAGAAACTTGCTGGAAAAAGAAGCAAATAGCTCCCATTACAAACACAATTGTGTGTTTAAAGACCATAATCGTTATCTTTGCGAGAATTGGTAGTTTTGATTTAGAATTGTAGAAAATTTGGTTAAAACTTTGAACTAAATTCATAACAGGTTATTTTTGTTCCTTGAACTTTATAACATATATAGAGGACTACAAAATCTGCACTTAAATAGGGAGAATGAACAGCTTAGTGAGAGATTTTCAGTTTTTTCTATGTAAAGTTCTCAAGATATCTATAAATTTTCAGTTTATATATATATAAGATGGACTTTAATTTAAATAAAATGGTATAAAAATGACTTACACTTAATAGTAGGATAGCCCTTCCTTTGCAGTGTTTTAATGGGCCTGAACTTTCGAAAAAGAAAACATTTAATGGGCCCTTGGCCCTACCTTAGTTACAAGCAATACATTCACATAAATGACTCATGCTCCAAGACAAATCCACCTACCTTGGTGGAATATTGATGATATAGTGTCAATGGATTAAATACCAACACGTAATAATACGATATTGATGATAAAGTATCATTAGTAATAAAAAATCTAAATTAAATACCAACACGTAATAATACTTTGATAGAAGTCCATTTTTCTATGCATTAGGGCCACACTTGAAAGGGAGCATTAACATGAATAAGTTACAACATTTCTCTCATTTTAAACTTTTACAATACCAAATTGTCAAACTCAATTACAATCATACACAACTAAAATTTGGCTCCCAATCATAAATGAGGGATTTCAAGCAAAAATACAAGAGAGATCTTTGTGTCACTAAGCAAAAGGAAAACAGCAACACATCAGAAACAAACTACAAATCAAAAGCAGCAAAACTTAGACACGGTGTCTGTCGAGCGGGTCCTTGAGAAGAAGCCTTTCATGGTAGACTCTCCAAGCATAGTCCTCGAAAGGAAATGAGTTGAAGACTCTAACTTCTCCAATAATATCCACACGACCACCATCATCTCTATTGATTTCATCTTCTTCGCCGCCACCGGCAACTAGCCCTGGAATGATGGTGGAGACGGTGCTGTCTATAGGAAGAGTGAGCAGCAGTGACATTGATATGCACCGTGTGTCGTTGCCATCTTTCAAGCTTGGCACTGGCCTTCCTCTTACTTTCTTTAATTTCCCATTGCTCCAAACCTGTTTGAATTAATGATCATTTAGCTTCGTTAATCAGGCTAAAGACAAGCATTCGCAAAACTTCACAAGAATTTTAATTATATGTTGAAACAGAGTATAGGAGGGAAACATGACCTTATAATTAAGATTATCATTATCATTTTTTTTTATTTTTAGTTTCATGATTACCAATCAATTGGGGGGTATATTGGTATTTCACATGTCTTAATGTAACACTAGTTCTGTACGGACCAACTATTGTAACCTGAATTCTGAAACCTCGGTAGTTCTAATTTCGAGTGAGTTTAGCATCGTCTTATTTTCTTTTTCTGTATTTTTGACAACAAAGATGACATACAATTTCGAGTACAACATTCCACTAAGCATAACCCACTAAAATGTTAAATTTCAATCTTACATAAACTCATAAAACTACGATGTTGCATTGGGATTAAATATGATATTCATTGATTACTACTTTTAAAGTTGTACCAGAAATGAAGGTGGTTTGTACATTTATTTATTTAGGGGAATATATGTCTAAAGCTTTAAAGTATGTTGGATATAAAATTAATTTTGTAGGGTTTATAAATGCAAATGCTTTTAGGTACAATGAAGCTAGAAACACTTCTCCTTACCCAAAAGACACACACACACACACCCCACTCCTTCAATGTGAAAGAGCAACAAGGTCAAAAGGTAAAATACCAAAACGTCCTCATTTTAAGAGCGAATAAAGGGGGAAAAATCATTTAAATCAGTTGGAATTAAAAAACATGTCTCATTCATTGCAGTAGCAATTTATGTATTGTTTTATTCGAATGGTTACAATTTACGTATTATGATTCTACACAACCACTAACAATTAGTATTCAATTTATATGGATACAAAAATGCAACCATCCATACAAATTGTAGTAAGTCATCAAGTCATTTTCTACCATCTCATAGTTAGTCATTACATTACCTATTACGTGTCAAAAGAAAATACTAGAAAATAAAACCCTAGTCGATTGGTTAGGTTAAGTGGGGTCCACTGTCAGGCCCATTTCAAACATCTAAACTGGTTTACCCGCTTTTAACCTGGTCCAATCCACACTCGAATACAATCAAGTCGGATCATGTCAAAATCAAATATTATGTATATAAAAAATGAAAAAAGAAGTCGCAAAGCCAATGAAACTTCACCTGAGCAATGTCACCAAGTGTGACCAAGACCGAGTCGACCTGGGGCGACACAGAAACCCAACCCGAGTCCGACAACAAAGAATATTTCTGGCACCTGATCTGATACTGTAAACCGACTATAAACGGGTAAAACTTACCCGACATAGCCGGTTTATTACCGGTTGTGCCCTCGGATACCCACATCAACGAACAGACCCGACTGAGGTCCTCCCGGACCGGGTTCTCAAAACCCACTGCGCAGGATAGCGCTCCGATGACCTCCAATCCCACTCTCTCCATTTCACGTGCGAACTCTCCCAGAGAAGCTAAAGACAACTCGGTTGACTCAGTAGAACAAGACGAGTCGAAACAGAACGAGTCACCCGTTCCACCGTTATCTTCGTCGTCATCGCCGTCATAGCCGTGGGGCCAGTTTTTGGGGAAAAACAGCTGTTTCTGATCGTGAGGGAGGTTGAAAAGAGAGAGTGAATCGGACTCGGCTGAGTGAGCGAGTTGGGAGGGTATTGAGTGGTGGGTGAGTTGGAAGAAACCGAGTTGAGAAGAAGCAGAGAGAAGGTTGGTTAGGAGAGTTGGGTTTGGGTCGGAGAAAGAGATGAGGGGAGGAGAGGTGGTGGGTGGTGGTGAGCGGCGAGTAGGGAGGGAGAGATTGGGTGGGAGGCGATGAAGGAGTCGGGAGAGAACGTCCGCAGCGGCGGCGTCCGATGAGGAGAGAGGGTTGGGTTGGATCGACGGCGTTGGCGGCGGAGCTGTGATGGTGCCGTACGGGTTAGGGAGGTGGTGTTCGTTGTGAGCGGAGGAGGCCATGTCAAGACTAGAGAGAGACACTTGCACATAAGACTTGTGGTGGGACTTATAAGTAACACCAATTATTGTTATTGTTTCTCCCACGTATGTGTTTTTTATTTATAATTGATAAGATTTAAAGAATGTAATTTAATGGACATTAATGAACGTTGGTGTCTTTTTCAAATTGAAAATTATCAAAATTTAATAAGCAAGGGTATGATTTGTCATTTGTTAACCTAAATATTATCCCTTAGGGTACCATTTAATAATGTATCCTAATTTATTAGCACTTAAAAAATTAGGCATAAACAAATTTTAAATGTAAGGTAAATATAATTTTTCACTAGATTGAAACATAAATTATACTCCATCTGTCCTATAATAATTATTCATTTTTTTTTTTTGAATTATCTCAAATTACTTGTTCACTTATCAAATTTAAACAACACATTTCGCATCTTTCATAAAATACATTATATATATTTAAACTTGAAATGATAATTTTGTACTTTTCAAAAAAAAATAGTGCAATAATTACATGTTATCTTTAAAAGTTCTACTGTCCATAAGGGACATTTATTATGAGACGGAAGAAATAATAAGGTTGTAATGTGTCATTCATTGAAATGATTGTCTTGCACTGTGTCTTTCATTGATATGGTTATCTTCGACCATCAATCTTTTATTTTTGATAATATTAAAGTATCATGGATAGATTTTTTTGAACAGTTGATACACTAATACTCAGCTTTGGCACACCAATGGCTTGTTTGGTTGGTTTTTTTTTTTTTTTTTTTTTTTTATATATATATATAGAGTGTTTTTGGCCGCAATGTGTTTGGTAAATGTTAATTTATTTTGTATGTGAATAATGATCAAAAGTTCAACACTAATTTGTTGTTTATATTTGATAAAATATATCAGTAATAATAATAACTCTAAAATGATATTTTTAAATTAATTATTATATTTATATTTTTAGGTTTCAAAATCTTGTAACAAATAATTGTTACGAAATATGCCTCTAATTAGTATTAAAACAATACTACCTAAAAAAACATTACAGTTACCAAACATGCTCAAAAGTCTTGATACAGATTTCATAATATCTGTTTAATAGTAATTCGACTCTATCGAACTAAAAACGACATAGAAATGTGGAACATGTGGGTTCGTAGGACCCACATTCAATTGGGTCGGCGACATAGTGACACACAGATAATCCGTTTGTATTCAGCATAATTTGGTACCATATTGATTCCATTTCTAGTGCACTTATATCTATATATATATATATATAAGAAAATACCGTACAATTAAAAGACAAATGTCACCATCATTACTCACTTTGAATTTGTAAATTCTATATACTCCCTCAATCTTAATTTAATGGGACAAGTAAGATATACATTGTCAAAAATTACTAATTTATCTTTTTAAGTTTTTAATATTTAAGTTTGAAATTTTAAACTCAAAAGATATATATGAAAATATGTGAAATATATTATTTGAAAAAGAAAAGTGGTCTATTATTTTAGGACAAACAAAAAAAAAAAATGACACTTATTTGGAGACAAAAAAAGTATATATATATATATATATATATATGCACGGAGGTTGTAGTCTCTACACTCAACTATATTGCGTTAGAGGTTTTTGTTCCGATTAAAAAAGTTTAATGGTGTATATATATATAAAAGGGTTCTTAATTCGATATTACGCAATTGTTGTAATTGCTGTATCTTTTTTACTAGTCTCAATATTTAGAGAATCCGAATTTCTTCTAAACATGGAGTGAGGAAAAAAAAAAGCACAAAATAAAAGAAAGGAAGAAAAAAAAAATGGGGGTAGATTAACAATTAATAAAGAAAAGAAGAATTTATAGAGAAGGAAAAAATAAAAATAAAAATAAAAATAAAAAATCTTCTTTTGGTGAATAAGACTGAAAAGAAGTTTAGGATGAAATTAACTTTATCATAATTGCAGAAGTTTAGGATGTTGAGACTTCTTATATTGATTGATTATGTGATATATGCGTGGCTGTGGCTGTGGGCTGGCACAGCACCTGCAATGGACTATACACACAAGCAGCCCTTTGATCTTTATTTTATATTATAGGTATGTAATTGATTTTTGTGTAGAAAATATTGTTAAATTTACAGGTTAAATGGGACGTTGTTGGCATGTTGTGAGGGAAATTGTGCCTCTAATGGCAGGTTGTGGTGTGGTGTGGTGTGGGGTTACATGCTTTCACTGTTTTTTTTTTTTTCTTTCAAAATTCCATGGACAGAGAAAGGACTATTACTACTAATATTATATCATGAAGCATACTTTACCAACGTCTTTGTTGAGACGATGTCTATATATAACTATATTCCGAATATATATATATATATTACTCCATGCTTCAATTGTAGTGGATCGGGTGAAATTTGAAACGCCCAGCCAATCATTTTATTATTTTTCTTTTTATATTTATTTTTACGTTGACAATAAATGAAGTCACACACTTTACTTGTATGTTAACTTCCACTCTTGCCCTTCAAATTTGAAAGGTGAAAAGTGACCCCGGCAAATTCGGCAATTGTGTGAACAAGTTGTTTCCACTGTATTTTTAACATTAAAGTTAGGGTAAACCAATCGATTAAAGTTGTAACTACTCCTGAAGCATCGTTAGCAAATAAAAATTAGGATACATTCTCACGCCACATAATATCGCCTTGAAATTATGTAATAAGACTCACACTCCACTCATGCATTTCTTATTTAGCATCTTCTAAATTAGGAGAATGTATCATTTTTCTTAATAAATTTTTACGTGGTCATAAGCACATTGATCCAGGTATAAACAGAAATCCAATTTTCACTTAAGCTAGATTGGATTAAATATTTGAGTTTTGGGTCATGTCCTAACGTGAATTTTGGGTTAAATTGAATAGACAGCAACGTCAACTTTTTATTTTGAAAGATAAAGAGTACCACTAAACTAAATTCCTGTAGTTGATATATTTAATTTTAGTCAATCTTTTTAGTATGTGTATAACATAGTGTAATGTACCCAAGTGATTGGCTTAAGTTTACAAAGGGAGGCTTGTTCGAATCTGGATAGGAAGTGAAGATGTGTTGGGTGCTATCCCTACATTATAGCTTAACTTTTTTGGTCGGATCGCAAAGCATTTGACCCGCTATAATTGGTATTAGAGCCATATTCAATCATTGATCCCGTGTCATGCTAACTGTCCAACCCGAAAGGTGTCCAAGTGTGCCACCCCTAATAGGAGTAATCCGAATTTTGACGGAAAGTGAATGCATATATATGAGTTAGATGTTAGCCCCACCTGGTAACTTAAGTTTTTTAGTCGAATCGCAAAACACTCTACCATTACGCCAGGGGTGGAGCCAGGATTTTGAGGTTGGGGGGGCCAACATTATAAACAACATTACCTAGCTAAAACTTTGGAAATATATATATATATATTACGTAGGCAAAAATATATTACTATTTATTATATTCATACAAAAATATATATATTTAAACTTTTTTCAATTTATTTAAATAAAAAAAATAGTTATTTAAAGAAATTTTTTATCAAACTTTCTGAACAAACACAAATAAGATTTATGGCAAAATTATAAAAAAATTCAATTAAATAACTCTCTTTATTTTCCGAAAAGGAAAAAAAAAAAACAAAAATAACTTTAAAAAAAATGTAACAATTGAAAATTTAACAAAAAAATAACAATGATAAAATAAAATAAAAAAAATAAAAAAAAACACAAACAAATTAATAAAATAAAAATTTAGATTCTAAAATCATCAATTTTTGTTGATATTCAACACTTCAAATGAAATTTTTGTTCTTGATTTTGTAAAAATTAATTTCTTATAGAATTCTTATAAAAGCATTTCAATCAAAATGAATAAAAAGAAGAAAAAAAAAAGTGATGGAAAGAATCATGTATGAGATGGAATTTTAGAATAATAAGGTTATGGAAAGAATCGTGCTTGTAGTCACATTATGAAAAAAACGGTATTTGAGTTGAAATTTTAAGATAGCCACATTAAATTTTTATGTGAATTAATTTTTATTAGGATTCTATAATCGTTAATTAAACCACTATATAAACTATCTTTTGTTAAATTCTAATTAAAGAAATAATTTTTTTTCTTAGGGGGGCCAAGTATAGATTTTATACTATATATACGATATTATTTTATTTTTAACTATACTACCAAAAAATTTCCAAAAAATTAGGGGGGCCATGGCCCACACTGGCCCCCCCTTCCCTCCGCCCCTGCAGTAAGCGACTTGGTGTCTCAAGTTCAACTCTCTTACGTAACACCCAACTAATTCCTTAAGGGGTGTGAGTATTAACTAGTAAAAAAAACTCCAAGGCGCAAACAATTCCTAAAATATTCACAATTTATGCCAACTTAATAAGATAAAAAATTTGGATAAAAAATTATTTAAAAAAAGAAACAGAAAGTATAAACTTGTTAATTTTTTTTCTACCCATGGTTGACTTATATGAATCTTATTTCATCACTATATCCCATCTAAAAGCATAATGTAATGTATTTTATCCTATATTTGTTATTATTTCAATTATTTTTCATGTTATAGCGCTATGCATTTTTTCTCTTCAAATTGTTTCTGAGTCGTTGAGAAATAAATTATTACTGTTATGTTTAACAGAATAAAACTTGAGTCTAAGTCGATTCAAAAAGATACAAACTCAAAGATTGGTTATCTAATTGAAAATTAAACCGAGGTCAAACTTTTTATTTAGAGTTCTGTATTTTGGATTGAACCTCAAAATTGTTGGGAATTTTGCACCTACATTATAAAACTTTACAATTATAACACATCAAATTATTATTCATACAAAAAAAAAAAAAAAATACATCAGCATGAATTGTCATCATAGATAATACATTAACATGAATAATACATCAAATTAAACATCGTGTATATAACAACACAACATAAATAATTATAAACTAAATAAGAAAGAACTGGGTCCGAATGCGAGCACGGTTCTAAAGTCGTACAATACGGCTTCAAGATACAACCCATATCCACCAATGATATTTTTCAGACACATCTAAAAGGAGACAAAGTTGTACTAGTCTTATTGTAACAAGGGTCATTTGTCCCACATCGGAATCGGATGGGAAAGTGATTGGGTATAAATGGGTGGGTATGCAGCACTACCTAATAGTTCGAACTTTTGGGTAAATGGGCAAGCGCCCACCCGTTACAGTTGGTATCAGAGCCAAACCCAATCCTTGATCCGGTGCCACGCCAAGCGCCCGGCCCGGAAGGCGTCCGGGTGAGTCTACCCGGGTAGGCAGGGTGGCCCAACCGCAACGAGGGCGTTGCGAGTTTGGGTGGGGGAGAATGTAACAAGGGTCATTTGTCCCACATCGGAATCGGATGTGAAAGTATCTTAAACATATAATTAAATATGAAGTAATAATAGAATAAATAAAATATATAATAATTACTTAATAATAATTATTTTTTATTTATTAAATAGTAGTAACAAAAATGATTTAATATCTTAGAAAAACTCGATCAAGTATTTAAGTTACACCTTTACCAGCATAGATTATTTCATTACTAATTGTTAGTTAGCACTTAGCAAGGAAAGTAGTGTAATTCTATATACGTTAAAATAAAATCAAGTAAATGAGAAATTTTGTAGTTTTGGATTTTGATTCCGGCTAATCACTAATTTTTTATAGAATTTATAATTTGCAATTTAGGAAAAAAATAAAAAAGAAGTTACATATATTATTACATTAAAGATTGTAGACTTCCTACAATTGTAGATATTCTTATATTTAAAGTTAACTCTTAATATGGTCCATGAATATAGGGGACAACGGTAAAAAAAAACAAACCCTAATATGGAAATTAACGATGTTGGACCAGGTCATTAGAAAAAGTAATAGTGTGACACATTCACATGGTCCCTACTTTGTCATCAAATTTGCCAATTAATCGATCAAAATTGAACCAAGTCATCACCATCACAATCATCAGACGGCCCGTTGCTCCAAATCATCGCTCCATGTCTAGATTCTCAGGCGTGTGATCCGATCCACGCAAACCCTCTGCTACAACTCGCATGACCGTTGATTTCGAAGACCATTTCTCAAATTTTGATCACAGGCGGAGTGGAGAAGAAAAAGGCATCGAAGAAGAACGCAACAACACAGGCACAGAGCTCGTTGATTCGCGATGATCACCAAATTAATTCAAAAAGTGACTAGTCCTCATCAGGTAATAAGCTCAATTTTGTTGTTTCAGCGTCAACGATCGCATATCAAGTATTGCGAATTTGTCTGATTTATGCTTTGACGCTAAAGAATACAAACCTCCGTTGTTCTTTTTGTTATTGCCGATGACTTTTTGTAGTTTCTTTTTCTTCCGTTTGGTTGCTGAGAAACCTCATGAAAATAATACGGGACATTCTTGTGGATGAGGTGTTATCTTCGTTTTTCAGTTTTCTCTACAATCTAACAGCGACAATTGATTGAATGTCAAATCGGTAAAAATTAATCAATTGAATTTCATTGGGTGTGATAATGTATTTTGATATTGTTTGATATGATTACTGTTGTTTGTTGTTTTGTTGTGCTAAATAGTCTAGAAGTCATATGCGTCTTCTTGAAGAATTAAATACAGTACCGTACTTGTGCCAATGGAAAGAGAGGACAAAATAAAGATTGAATAGATTAACTTGCTGACTTTATACTAGTCTATAAGGAAGTAAGAGAGAAACGAATAGTGAACTGTAATCGGGTGCAAAGTAAAGTAACAATCGAATGAGTCTCTTATTACACAGTATTCCTTAGCATTAAAGCATGCAGAAACAGCCATAAAGCTGAGCTTTTTAAAATTTGATTGATAAACAACAACAAAAAAAAAAAACGAACAACAAAGCATGCTTTCTTCCTTATAGATTAGCCGTAGTCTATAGAGCTGCAGCTTTTTAAAAATTGATTGATAAACAACAACAACAAAAAACGAACAAACAAAGCCCTCTCCAAACTACTTGGGGTCAAGTATATCAATTCTATTTTTCAGCCATAATTTCAGTCAGACCAGTTATCATTTATTTCTTTCAATAATTCTGATCATATTAACTTTGGTCTTCCCCCTTTCCCCTAGCATTACTCTTAACGTGCTATGTTCTTCTTTCAATGTCCAAACCCTTTAATCGATTTTCCATATAAATTCTACTAATTTATAAATATAATTGAGAACTTTCAGTTTATAGTTTTGAAGAAATTGCTCAACTATATAATTTTCTAAATGAAAAGGTCACTAGGTTATTAAACTGGGGTGGTGGCCTCCATCTTTTTTCAGACTGTTGGGAAGCAATGCAATGAATTCCATTTTCAGTTGCTCACTGATGGCAGATTGGCTCTCCTATCTTATTTTTGGTAGATTAATTATCAGTCCATCTTTTTCAAGACAAGTATATTGGGGAGGGAGTGAGGGAGGAGGGTAAATAGGATTGTTCATCTCTTCCCTTTTCTCTAGCCATGATATTCCCAGGAGAATACAGCAACACAGTGTTGGAGGTATATTTCACTGTTCATTGTTATCATGATGAAGGTTCCTCCCCTTAAACTGTTGCTTTGACAGCGATTCTGTGTTGCCTTCCTAGATTAACCGTTAGCATTGCTATGATGGAGTTTTGTATTCCATCCTATTTCTTGAATTCATTGCTATGATCACAATATTGGCATTCACTCTGACATTTTTCTATTAGGTTATGATGTTTACCTTTCTGAATTTTTGAATATTTTGTCCGATTTTTCAAACAAATTAGTTAAAAAGTATTTAAAACATTTGATCTTTGATTTCTCATCCAAAGAGCTAGTTTACTGCATGTAGAGATGAAATTTGTCTCATCCTTACTCATCTCAACTCAATTGACGAGTTCAATTAGTACACTTTTTTTAATTTTAATATATATATATATTTTTTTGTAAATAAATATAGAAGATACATAGAAAGTGCCTAGAGGGGCTGGACCCTAGATACACGTGGAGTATATTGGACTATCCTTTTGTGGCATAGCAAAGGAAAAAGAGCAAAAAAAAGCCTAAAAACTAAGCCTCCAAAGTTCAAGTCATCTCAATCAATAACTTGAGGAAAGGAAAAGAAAGAAAGAACGAAAAAAAAGCATTAATGTAAGCGTCCCGTTGGTTGAAGACAAATGAAACTTTAAACTTGGAGATGCGTCAATTTTGGCGCTCACAGCTCCATATCTTCAAAGGACATCCTATTCCACAACTTCTTAACACATGAGAATTAGCCAAGGAGAATTATGTGCCAAATTGCGTTCATGTTTCTATTTGGGCACCTGTAATATATGTAGTTGTCAGTAATTTTAAAAAAGAGAAAACTTTTTTCACACTTGCAACTTGATATGTAAAAGAAAATGTTAATAGTCTCCTCTGCTTGACTAAACATACGAAATAAGTTGGATAATGGCATTTTACCATATTTGGAGCCTAACCACCTCATGGAATTTTCCCTATTTGCTTGGTGTGATGGTTAGAAGTTTGGGCTGACAAGCATGAGGACGTGTGGGTTAAAGTTTGGGAATAACCTCTTTGTCCAAAACAATTTAAAAGGTTGGGTTTACCTCCAGTCTTCCTAGGCGGGACTAGCGCTAGGTAATGACTTTTTATGTAGGGACAAACACCACATGCAATAAAGCAATGAGACCCTTAATTGACTCAATGTCCCGTTTTAAATCCAAAATTTGCTACATCTTAGTGGTTACTCAGAAAATTTAACCATGGGTGAAACAACTTATGAACACATGGGAATATGAGGAACTACAAATAAATTACTGGGATACATGTCTCTAAAATTTGATTTGTGAACATTTATGTATTCCTGAAAGACTTATTACTGTTTTCTTCAATTCATTGCCATTTCATGCATTTTACTTGATCACTGATGTTGTCCCTTATTTCCTTATCTGCATATTTTTTTTTTAACTTGCTTCTCTTAGTAGATATGGTGGTGAAAATAAGCTTTGGGGTTGTGGGGTGGGTTTGGGAGAGGGTAAGTAAGCTCCTTACCTCTAGAGAAAGACTGAATGTCGTCTTAAAACTTGTGCACCAGAAGAAGTTATTTGTACCATAATTGGGTGATCCTCTGCTAGGGTTTTTTCCTGCTTGTTCAGATATATTGCTTTCTTGTGTTAAGTAGCAGCTTTGCCACATGGTGCTGCTTTTTATTCTGTTGCATGATTTGAGTTTCTTAATAATTTTTGAATGTCCTTTTCATCCTTTGATGTCCATTTTCACGTCTGATAAATTTTCTTTCTTTTGCCTTTTCTTTTTCTCGGTCCTATTTCTTTCTTATTAATGACTGATCCACAGTAATTGTCTTGTTTGCTATATAATTTCCAAAGAGTCCTACAATAATTGATTTTGTCATTTTCTTTTCTTCAATGGTATGCTAGTTTTCTCATGTCACTATGGTAGAAATGCCTTAGTCAATTAAATTATAAGCATTTTCCTTTTTTTAGGGAGGCGCATCCCACCCATGAAAAAAAAAAAAAAAAAAAAAAAAATTATTTTGGGAGATGATTTATGGTAGTTTCATAGTTTGGTTATTGCTTTTTTATGGGAAAGTAACATATCTATGTAAAAGTCCTTTGTTTCATTGGAACTGTCAGAGATTCGAGTCACTCTTTCTTTGGTAAATTTGCTATGTAATTTAATTACACTGGACTCTTTCATACATCCTCCTTCAGCATAATGTGCCACACGGAAGTATGACATCAACAGACTGGCAACCACGTGTTGCTGTTCACTACGGGATCCCATCTACTGCATCCATTCTTGCTTTTGACCCCATTCAACGCCTCTTGGCTGTAGGAACACTGTGAGTTAAAACATTTCCTTTCACTTTAATGAACATCGTGCTATTATTGAGATTACGTCAAGTTTTCTGATAAAAGTACATGCATATTTTCCCCATCTTGTGGTAAAATTTGAACCTTTGATTTCAATAAAATTAAGAAAGAAACAATTACTAATATCTGAAAGACAATCAAGGAAACGAAAATTTCATTTTATGGCATCTCTGAGATGTTTGACTGTCCATGTGATTTTTTTGAGACTAGAAGTTGCCTTATTTTAAGCACATCCAGTCCAGTTTACTTATTGGGATGTCATAATATTGCTAAGTCATCCACTAATCCTAAATGAGGTATGTAATATTATATTTTCTCCAGAGTCTATTGGTATTTGAATGCAGTTCAAACATGAAGTTCTTGCTCTTGATTATAGATTTGAAACGGTATCATTGCCAATTTCTCTTTAGATATATAACAATACGCGGAAGGCAGGCTGTGTAGCATGATTTTTACACGTTGCTTATTTTTAAAATCCTTGATCTCTAGTTCAAGTTACAATTTGGATAGACAATCATACAAGATTCACAATCATAAAAGTTCTGTAATTAATTATTCCCCCTAAAAAATAAAATAAAAAACAAAGGTCTGTAATTGGTAACGAATTCATCAGAAAGAAATTCTTGATGATCTTTGAAATTTTATCAGATTAGTTGACTTTTACATCATTGAAAGGCTGTCCGAACCAACATGTGGGCATTATGAGGCACTGATTAAGGCTTCCTAAATAATTTTTTCTCTCTCTTTCCCCCTTTTTTTTTTTTTTTTTTTTCTCTTGCTCACTGCAGGGATGGTAGGATTAAAGTGATTGGTGGGGATAATATTGAAGGCCTTCTTATATGTCCTAAGCCATTGCCCTTCAAACATTTAGAGGTTTGTCAGCTACATTTACAAAGTGATTCACATCTTGCCATTTTTTTGTTTATATATCAAATTTTTTGGAGTCTTGCAGAAATTGCATAGACTCTAGTTTTGTTTTATTTAAATTCTCGTATTGCAATGTGATCTATCTCCATTGTTTGTACTTTCATTTGATATATCTCACATGTATACATTTGTGCATTTGTACTTTCAAATTCACGGCTGGTATTACTTTCCTATATGCCTGTTATTTGTTTACTTGTGGTTTATTCTCTCATCTGATCTGTGCTCTTCTGATTTCGCAAGTTGACTGTCCAAATATATGTTGTATGTGCAAAAGGATTTAGGAGATGATTAACCACTTCCTGCTAAACTGTGGAGTGTTGTGGACTCCTTTATTCTTTCTTTTTGGAGTTTCATTGTTGATGCCAGGCCATGTTGTGTGCTTGGCAAGGGAGTCAGATGAATAGGTTCAAGCAGCAATGTGGAAAGCAGCCCTATATGCCTATTTGTGTGTGTGGAAATAGAGGAATAAGAGGTCGCTCAATAGAGCGAAGTTCACCCCCCCCCTCTCTTCCATTGGGCTCTTTGCTTTTGTGAGTTTAGCAGAGATTTCCCTTGTCATTGAATCCATTTGCACATTTATGTGATTGTTTTCCTAGTCGAGTTTTTTATTTATTTTTATTTTGGAACCTTTTATACTGTACGAGTATTTGGGCTGCACCCCCAGGGTCTCTTTTAGTGGTTTTCTGCTCAATTTTAAAGTAATAATAATAATAAAAAAAGAAGTCTGACTGCGAATTCATGGTGTGATTGAAATATTCGCAATACAAGAAAATGATGAAATGCTCGCATTTGGATCTTACAATACTAATTACATTTTTTTTTTGCTCATATCCTGGCAAAAACTTTCCTACTAACTCATGTGTTGCCTTTTATAATAATTTTTGTATTTGTTTTCCTACAGTTCCTAAAAAACCAAGGTTTTCTAGCCAGTGTCTCGAATGAAAATGAAATTCAGGTATTAAATTTTCGTAGCCCACCAAGTTTATCTTGTGAAATATTGCTATTATTCACCAGACAATTATTTATATCTGATCATCTATCTATATTAGTTCTCTTAACTCTTCCTCGATGGTTGACATGTCTTTGATTTTGGCAGGTCTGGGATCTAGAACACAGGTGTATAGCTTCTAATTTACAGTGGGAATCCAATATAACTGCCTTTTCCGTCATCTATGGCACCCAATACATGTAAAAATACCGAGAAAGGCTGTTCTGCTACTTAATTTAGTAGTAACTGGCTAGAAATGAATCCTTAATTTAATACTCAAAGCTCAGCCTAAACATTCTCTCCTTTTTGTTGCATTCAGGTATGTTGGAGACGAGTATGGATTTTTGTCTGTATTGAAGTATGATGCTAAAGAAGGAAAAATTCTACATATGCCTTATCATATTCCTGCAAATCTTATTACCGGTAATGGTTCATTGCTTTACAACTGTCAATATCTATGTAATTGAGTCATGTGTTAAGCTGAAAATTTTCCTCATATCCTGTTAGAAATATGAATCATGTGTTACAGTGTTCGCAATTCTCCCCCCTGAAAATTCAAGCAAACACACCCACCCACCCAACCTCCCCTTTGGGGAGGAGAGATCATACCATTTAGGCTAATGCCCATTGGTTACTGTTGACTTTAAGATATAATCAAATTAAAAGTAAGTGATAAAGAAGAAGAAGAAAAAGAGAAGAAAGCGGATGAGAGAAACAGATAAAGAGATGGGGAAAGAGAGTAAGAATGAAAGAATTCTTTCATCCTTCTACCACATTCTATTTATAATAATAAGTTTCAGAAATTACACATAAGCCCCAACATTATATAAGTAATAACAAATAAGCCCCTGACGACACTCCCCCTCAAGCTGGTGCAAAGATATCTATCATGCACAGCTTGACTAACATATTTTGCAAGCAAGTCTTGCTCACACCGTTAGTCAAAACATTAGCAACCTGATCATGTGTATTAATGTATGGAGTACAAATCAACCCAAGATAAAGCTTTTCCTTGATGAAGTGTCGATCGACTTCAATGTGCTTTGTCCTGTCATGTTATTGGATTGTGGGCAATGCTAATAGCAGCCTTGTTGTCACAATACAACTTCATTGACTTGCGAACAGGATAACCCAACTCACCCAACATCGTACGTAGCCATAACAACTAATAAACTCCATGTGTCATGGATCTAAACTCAGCCGCTGCATTAGATCTAGCTACTACGGACTATTTCTTGCTTCGCCATGAAACAAGATTACCTCCAACAAATGTGCAATATCCTGAAGTAGATCGTCGATCTGTCACAGACCCTACCTAATCAGCATCAGTATAGGCTTCAACACGCAAGTGGCCATGATTGCCAAACAATATCCCCTTACCAGGTGAACCCTTGAGGTAGCGAAGAACATGATGAGTTGCCTCAAGGTGAGGTGTACGTGGAGCATGCATGAACTGACTAATCACACTTACAGTGTAGGCAATATCCGGACGCGTGAGAGATAAGTAAATCAGTCTCCCAACTAATCGCTGAAATCTTCCCACATCATCTAATGGGTCTCTATCTACATCGTTAAGCTTATGGTTCTGCTCAATGGGAATATCATTTGGTCTAGCTCCAAGCCTCCCTATTTCAGCCAACAAATCTAACATATGCTTTCGTTGAGAAATGAACACCCCTTTCTTCGATCTGCACCCCTTGATGCCAAGAAAGTATCTCAATAATCCGAGGTCTTTAACCTCGAACCCTGTCCTCAAGAATGACTTCATTCGATGAATCTCTTTTGGATCATTTCCAATGATAACAATATCATCAACATATACAATAAGGGCAGTGGTGCAGCGCTGGTGCTTCTTGATGAAGAGAGTATGATCTGCCTGACTTTGTGTGTACCCTACTCTTTTCACAGTAGTGCTGAACCTCTCAAACCAAGCATGTGGCGACTGCTTTAACCCATATAAAGCTTTATTTAGCTTGCACACTAAATTCTGACCATTAACAAGCTTAAACCCTGGTGGCATAGCCATATACACCTCTTCCTCCAAGTCACCATGAAGGAAAGCATTCTTTACATCCAGCTGATGTAAGGGCCAATTCAAATTAGCTGCCAAAGAAAGAAGAACATGTATAGAGTTCATCTTGGCAACTGGAGCAAATGTTTCCAGATAATCAATTCCATAGGTCTGAGTGAAGCCCTTTGCAACTAACCGAGCTTTATATCTCTCAATTGTTCCGTCTGCATGATACTTTATTCTGTAGACCCATCTGCAGCCTACTGGTTTCTTACCCCTAGGTAATGGAACAATATCCCAAGTACCATTCTTCTCAAGGGCCTTCATTTCTTCAAGCATAGCTTTCTTCCATGGAGTTTTTGACTAAGAGCATCTGAAACACTAGAAGGAACAGATACAGAGGAGATACACGAAGTGAAAGCACGATATGTTAGAGATAAGGCATCATAGTATACAAACTGCGATATGGGATGCTTTGTACAACTACGAACACCCTTACGATAGGCAATAGGGACATCAAGGTCAACAGGAATGTTATTGGGAAAAGAATCAGGAGTGCCAATGTCAACTAAGGAATTACCTGGATCGAGGGAGACTTCTTGGTCCTGGGGTGAGTCAATAACTTGTTTTGCCCTCCTAGTGTAGACAATTGTCTGCTTTCCCTGCTGCAAATCATTAGTGTTAGGAGGACTCGACATAGGCACCTCAGTAAGAAGCTCCCCCTGAATGGGAACAAGCAAGGAAGGGGACATTCCCTCTGAATGGACAACGGATTCTCTACCTGTATAGTAGTCTCCCCCTGTAGAGAATCCTGAGTAGTGGAAAAAAAGGGAACAAACTCAAAGAATGTAACATCCATGGAGACAAAGCAACGACGAGTGGTTGGGTTATAACACCGATACCCTTTATGAGTGGCGGAGTATCCAAGAAAGACACATCGGATTGCCTTAGGGTCCATTTTGTCCTTGCGATGATGAATGTGAACATAACAAACATAACCAAACATTTTCGGAGGGACACTAAACAAGGCAGTGTCATGGTGTAAGACAGAGAAGGGGGATTGATAGCCAAGAACCTCAGAAGGCATGCGATTGATAAGGTATGTAGCTGTTAAGGTTGCATCAGCCCAATAACTTTTAGGCACTCCCATCCCAATTAGAAGAGAACGGGTCACCTTCGTAATATGACGGTGTTTTCTTTTAGCTACACTGTTCTGTTGTGGTGTATCGACACAAGAGGTTTGATGGACAATCCCGTTATCAGCAAAAAAAGAGGCAAGGCCACCATACATAAACTCTCCTTCATTATTAGATCGAAGGATTTTGAGGGGACAACCAAACTGAGTGCATACAATCCTATAAAAGGTTTTAAAAATGGAATGAACTTCATCTTTGGTTTTCATAAGATAAAGCCAAGTGTATCGACTAAAGTCATCAACAAACACAACAAAGTAACAGAAACCAAGTAACGAAGTAGTAGATTCAGGACCCCACACATCAGAATGAACAAGCTGCAAAGGAGCTGTATTTTTATTAATACTAGTAGGATAAGAAACACGACATTGTTTGGCAAGAATGCATGTTTCACAATTTAACTCAAAAGATTCAACAGAAGCAAACTAGGGAAGCATATGCTTCAAAACAGGAAAAGGTAAATAACCTAGTGAAGATGCAAGAAATTCCTTCTCCTCTTTCTCTCTCTAGAATTCTTACACCTCAACCCAAAAAAGATCCCTCTCCTTTCCATTCCATATCCTATTTATAGATATTTACAAGATATTTACAAGATATTTACTGATTGCTGGATCTGGGCCTATTCCTCCGTAAGCCCTGGTTACCTTTGATGGGCTTACTCCCGTTCGGCCCATATGGCAGTGTCTTTATATGGGCTGACCCAGCTGTACGGACTGAATGTTGTGTTTGCGAGTCGGATCTGGCCCATGTCATCCGGGGCCTCCTCAACTGCCCCCATAATTGCCCCTTATTTAATAAGGGGTAATTATTGATGGCGTCTCATCATGATGTTGACGGCTCGAGATAACCACGTGGGGGAGCGGACGGTCAGATCCAGAATCAATGTTCCGGGGCTCGAGGGATTTCTCGCCTTCCCGACGCTTCGGCCCTCGGGCCCCCTCGCCTTTATAATGCTCTAGAATTCCACTTCACTTCCCTTTACCGTCTCCATCATCAGCCAAGTCTCTCTCTTTCTAGAACAGTGCTAAGCTTTTTCTGGTGAAATCCTTCAAGAGTCATTCTTCCAGCGATCTTGCAGTCCTCCGAGGTTAGTTTCGTTCTTTTTACTTTCGGCAGGCTTCCATTTACCCCCTTTTAGATTCTTCTAGCACTTCCACCATGGTTGTAGATCTGGATGTTCTTCGTATGAGACTTAGACTTCCTGACAACATCGAAGTTAGGGTTTGCCCCCAAGATGTTAACATTACGACCGGCGCCGGCCTCCTGCCCGGCGAAGTCTTATTCACGAACCTTCAATTGAATGTTGTTAGGTTCCCTCTGCACCCTTTCTTTAGTTATGTCTTCAATAGATTGGGGATATCCCCTCTGCAGGTCAACCCCAACTTCTTTAGAATCATATCTGTTATGCTCTTGTTGATGCGTGACAGAAATCTGGACCTCGACCTCATAGACCTCCTTCTGTGCTATAAGGTCAGTAAGATCCGTACTAACGAGCCCTTCTACCACCTCTACCCGTTCGAGAAGATGTCCATATGTACTGACACAATAAAATCTGAAAAGGGTTGGAGGGATAGCATAGTGGGCATTAGTGGGGCTTGGTCTTCGCCGGCTGCAGAGGATTACCCAATCCCGAGCGCCTTTGGTGTCTGCTCTGTCTCCTCCTATAAAAAATTCAAATCCCATAAACATGACTGCCCCTGCGAAACATGCGTTCCTCGTTTTTGCACTTTCTTATGCCGTTCCTTGGGAATACCTTGTGATGACTTGAGCTATAGTGTTTGCAGGGATAGGAGTAACTACTTGAAGAAATACGTTCTGAACGATATTCCTTCCTGCTCAGATCTCCTCACTTCAGACAACCTCTTAGCGCTCTCATCACTCGGCTACAACATGAGCAGACTTCAGATTCCTTCTTTTGGCAGGAAGAAGAATACTCCCCCAGCCACTCCTGCTGCTGGGGCGACCTCCTCTCCGGCGTCAGCTTCCTCCTCAGCCACCATATCGGACACTGTCCCGAGCGCAGTGGCTATTAACCCTGTTGCCAGCGCCCCTACTGCCAACCAGAACGCGTCCCCCCCAGCTACCATAGCTCCTGCTGCTGCGGGGGGCGGTCCGGACAAAGAACGAGGCAAAAGGCCTCATCCTGATAGTGAAGTCGATCCTGAGGAGGAGCCTCTCATTAGAAGGACCCGGATCTCCGGGCCTGGTGCTCTCTTGCACCGAGCGGTCAGAGCTCCTGCTCCCTCTGGGCCTGCTGCAGCTGGTGGCTCTGCTTCTGCTTCAGGCCCCTCTTCTATCCCCACCTTACCGCCATGTGCCCCTCGGTACACCCGAACGGATGGGACGTTCGTGAAACCGAACGAGACCATGCTGAGGGATGGCCAGACCGCTATGGCCTACTACAGGAGCATGTGGACTCCGAAGGACCTTGAGGCGGCAAAGGGTCTTTCCCAGAAGGATGTGTTCAGCCGCTTTCCCCAATCTGCTATGGAGGTGACTTTTATTTTCTAACTCATGCATTTTCTCATATTATTTGGTCTTGCCTTCGCCCGACCTGACTATTGGCTTAACCGTTTTTAATGTGCACCTATGCAGACATTGTTCGGCATGATGGCCATGCAGAAGCAGGTGGAGATGGGGAACGCCAGGGCCCGTAAGTTTTCTGACAGCCTGGAGGTGGCTAATAAGGAAAACGACCTCCTCGCCATGAAGAATACCGAGGTACTGGCTCGGCTTGACAAAACCGAGCAGGAGAGAGATGTCCTGAAGAAGGAGAATGATTCCCTTCAGGATGAGAAGGACACCCTCCAGCTTGAGAAGAGCGTCTGGCAGACCGAGCGGGAATCAATTAGAGAAGAGAAGGCAGAACTCCAGCGCCTTCTAGCTGATGAACAATCTGCTCGGATGGCCTTTGAAAAAAGAGCTCTGGACGAGCGTACCGCTCTGATCGACGCGATCAGCAGAGTGGGTGGTGGGATGCTGGCCCTTCACGCTCGGTTCTCAAGGGTCGGTGCTCTTAGGTATGCTCAAGGATTCCGGGAAGGTTTCGCCGACCGGGTTCCGGATGAGGGACAGACCAGCTCCACTCCGGATGAGGTAGACAAGGATCTGGGGATACAACCTCTGGGGGTCTATGTCGACCCCGAACCCACCGAAGCGGAGCGTATATTTGATGAGTGCCAGGACATTGCTTCCTCCAGGATCATCACAGCTCCTCCTACCGCTCTGCCACTGACCGCTCCTCAATCGTCAACCGTGGTTCCTTCCATAGCCACTGCTGACGCTGAACCCCAGCCGAACGATTCAGTCATTCACCTTGATTCCCCTCCTCATGAAGGTGAGGCGGCTGATGGGGCCGAGGAAGCGAGTCGGCACGACCAGGATGCTGTTGGTACTGAGGCGTCTAGCTAGGGCTCCTTTGAATTCTTCCATTCCATATCTTTTTGTAATGATGGACATCTCTCTTTTGTAAACTCAATGCTCAATATTAATGAAACGACAGAACTCTTTTTCCCTATGTGTTGTGCTCTATTCAACTTATCTTCAATACATACATATCTCTTCTCTCTTTTTCTTTTATATTAGCTTTGCCGTGTGTTTGTTTATGGCAAGTGCCTGCTTAAGTGCCTGGCGCTCGGCTAGAATGCCACTTGCCACTTGGCTTTAAGTTTTTAGCAAGTGTCTGGCGTTCGGCTTATAGTGCCAGCTGCCACTTATCTTGCTTAAGTGCCTGGCGCTCGGCTAGAATGCCACTTGCCACTTGGCTTTAAGTTTTTAGCAAGTGTCTGGCGTTCGGCTTATAGTGCCAGCTGCCACTTATCTTGCTTAAGTGCCTGGCGCTCGGCTAGAATGCCACTTGCCACTTGGCTTTAAGTTTTTAGTAAGTGTCTGGCGTTCGGCTTATAGTGCCAGCTGCCACTTATCTTGCTTAAGTGCCTGGCGCTCGGCTAGAATGCCACTTGCCACTTGGCTTTAAGTTTTTATAATAGACCGTTGGAAAAGAAAATTCTTTTTTTTTTTTGTAAATTTCAGTAACTTGCTCATTCATATGTATTTGATTGACAACAAACAACATCCAATTGAAGCCGGAACTTAGCTTTTATTGGTAGTACCTCTTCAGAGACGTGGCGTTCCAGGGCTTGCTGACCAACCTTCCCGCCATGGTTTCCAACGTATATGCCCCCTTGCCAATGACTTCTGCAATTCTGTATGGGCCTTCCCAGGGTGGCATCATTTTTTTGACCATCCCCACCTTTCTTTTCAAAACCAGATCGCCAGGGGCAAAATCCCTGTGTTTTACTCTCTTGTTGTGACTATTCGCCAGCACTTGCTGATACGATGCTAGCCTTATAGCCGCTGCGTCCCTCCTTTCGTCTATCATATCGAGGTTCAATCTTAACATCTTGTCGTTCTGATCTCGACTCCATGCTAAGCTTCTGATAGTGGGGACTAAATGCTCAACCGGTATAACTGCCTCGGTACCATACGCCATTGCGAACGGGCTCTCTCCAGTCGGCCGCCTTGGGGTGGTTCTGTAAGCCCATAGAACGTTCGGGAGTTCATCCAACCACTTCCCCTTATGATCTTCCAGCTTCTTCTTAATGCAGGCGAAAATGGTTCTGTTTGTGATTTCTGCTTGTCCGTTGGCCTGAGGATGACTTAGTGCAGCCAACTTCTGGTTGATTCCATACTCCTCCAGCAGCTTTCTTACTTGCCCGCTGTCGAGGTTTGTGCCATTGTCCATGACTATTGATCTGGGAACACCGAAACGGCAGATAATATTGTTCCAAATAAATCGTCTCACATGAGTCTGAGTCACGCTAGGATATGGTTCTGCCTCCACCCATTTAGTGAAGTAATCCGTGGCCAGTAACACATACTTGTTCTGAGCTCTTGCAGTTGGCAGAGGACCGACCACATCCATCCCCCATTGCGCGAAAGGCCATGGCGAGGCCATTACGTGCAATTCCTCAGGTGGTTGGTGGATCAATGGTCCATATCGTTGGCATTTATCGCACCTTCGAGAGAACTCCTCCGCATCTCTTGACATGTTTGGCCAGAAATACCCTTGTGTCATTGCTTTATGCGCTAACGATCGCCCCCCAGAATGATTGCCACACACACCCTCATGAATAGCTCGCAATACCTGCTGCGACTCCGCGGGGGTGACACATTTCAAGTATGGGCCAGAGTAGGACCTTCTGTACAATTGGTTCCGCACGATGGCGTACTTGGCAGCATTCTTTTTGAGTCTCCTAGCTTCATCCCTTTGCATAGGCAAAACGCCATCTCGAATATAGGTAATGATGGGGTCAAT